ATACCCCTTAAAGTGAAGAAAATCAATCTAAAACCACGGTTTATGTATGTGTTTTTTTGTTTTGTGTGAGGGTGTTTGTTTCATTATATGTATTGGTGGAAGGGGTTGCCATTCTGAAATTGATTCATGATAGTGACTTGTCACTGAAGATCCCTATTGTGCAATCATTCTAGATATTGTTTCCATCATGAGAAGTCTGAATCATATTAAAACTATATATTATATATATAATATATTATTTATATATATTATATATACACGTAACTCTTAAATGCTGTTTCCTCTTAGTAAGATGAGTAAGTGGTGAACGAGCCTAGCTGATGGTCCACGATTCCTTGGACCATTCACAGGTCGTTCCATCGCTGGGATGATGATCCTCGTTTGTGCCAATGGGCGATGACCTTACTATCCAGGGTTATAGCTGATATAGTTGATATATAGTTGATATCATTTCATATCAGATGATATCAGTTGATATCCAACACTATCCAACTAAAAACGATGAATCAACTCAGGCAAAGAAGCCGCCTACAGACGCTATGGGCTTTGTAATCTGTGTACAAAGCAGAAATGGCAGCATCGCCAGGCTTTCTGTGTGGCTCACCTGTCACCACGGACTGCAGTTGCTGCCCCTGCGATATGTCACTTGGACATCCTCCATGGGAAATTTTGCTGGAGCTGCAATTGGAAAACAACAGAAGCGCACATGCGCCATGGTCAAAACATTGTTGTTTTAAGGTTATTTTGCCAATAAAGGGATGGCAAATCATCCTTTAAAGGGGGTTTATACCCCCTTTATTTGGTCGAGAGCCCCTTCACGGCCTTCACGATGGCGAGATGACCCATACCCCCAAATTGACATATTTTGACCATGGCGCATATGAAGCAATCCGGGGACTAAACTAACAAAGTTTGAGGGATGTTAAATTGGTCTGAGGTCAGGATGATGTCAAGATTGACAAAAGCATGATGAGTTTCGTTTCCCAAAGGAAAATTTTCAGATCTCCAACTGCCTGTGCTCAGGTCCTGCTTTATTTTTACCATGCAGCTAAGCAACCCAGTGATGGATCACAAATCCGAAAGTAAAAAAAAAGTCGATTCACTATCATTTTCCAGCATTTTCCATCATTCTCCATCATTTTCCATCATTTTCCATCATGTTCCATCATGTTCCATCATTTTCCATCATTTTCCAACATTTTCCATCATTTTCCAACATTTTCCATTTTCCATCATTTTCCATCATTTTCCATCATTTTCCATCATGTTCCATCATTTTCCATCATTTTCCATCATTTTCCAACATTTTCCAACATTTTCCATCATTTTCCAACATTTTCCATTTTCCATCATTTTCCAACATTTTCCATCATTTTCCATCATTTTCCATCATGTTCCATCATTTTCCATCATTTTCCATCATTTTCCAACATGTTCCATCATTTTCCATCATTTTCCAACATTTTCCATCATGTTCCAACATTTTCCATCATTTTCCATCATTTTCCATCATTTTCCATCATTTTCCATCATTTTCCATCATTTTCCATCATTTTCCAACATTTTCCATCATTTTCCATCATTTTCCAACATTTTCTATCATGTTCCAACATTTTCCATCATTTTCCATCATTTTCCAACATTTTCCATCATTTTCCAACATTTTCCATCATTTTCCATCATTTTCCATCATTTTCCAACATTTTCCATCATTTTCCAACAGTTTCCATCATTTTCCATCATTTTCCATCATTTTCCATCATTTTCCATCATTTTCCATCATTTACCATCATTTTCCAACATTTTCCATCATTTTCCATCATTTTCCAACATTTTCCATCATTTTCCATCATTTTCCATCATTTTCCATCATTTTCCAACATTTTCCATCATTTTCCAACATTTTCCATCATTTTCCATCATTTTCCATCATTTTCCAACATTTTCCATCATTTTCCAACAGTTTCCATCATTTTCCATCATTTTCCATCATTTTCCATCATTTTCCATCATGTTCCATCATTTTCCATCATTTTCCATCATTTTCCAACATTTTCCATCATTTTCCAACATTTTCCATTTTCCATCATTTTCCATCATTTTCCATCATTTTCCATCATTTTCCAACATTTTCCAACATTTTCCATCATTTTCCAACATTTTCTTGGGCTCCATGAATCACTTCCAGGTATGGTTTGCCAGACTGGAACCTCGCGGTGAAGGCCGTGCAGGAATCGCACACCAGGCTCCATTGATGCTGCAGTTTTTTCCACCGGGGTCGGTGGAGCCTTCTGCAGGGCTACAACCAAATTGGTTACCAATCCGAGTTTCATGGATACCCTCTGGTAAACTAACATAACTATGGAAAATCACCATTTTTTGTGGGAAAATCCACTATTAATGAGTATTAATGGCCATTTTCAATAGCTACGTTAAATTACCAGAGGGTATCAATGGTATGGAATTCAGCATTAACATTCAGAATAAAAAATGGTACCCTTCATCAATTGGTTAGAGTTATCAATATTTCCATTCAGCATTCCAGTTAAACAAGGTTAAGTGCTATTTGATATCTCAAATATTTTACGACAGTTTCATAGATGCTTGTTGGAATTATATAATTTTGAATAGGGCAGGCACGCTGACTGGCAGTCCACATGCGTTTGAGGTCATCATTTTCGCACCCCAAAGTTCGTTCTAAAAAAATATTTAGGACCTATAGAACTGGGATTCCAGTTTTTCTTGGTTTCTTCATGTTTCTGCTTCAACCAAGATCATGGTTCACCCCTTGAAAGCCTTTGCCACGCGCTGAGGCACTTAGAAGAGTTGCATCACATGGGTGTAACAATGCTCCGTCCACCGGCTGCAGGGTCGGAAAGGGGATGGCTTCAGGAGAGTTGCACCCATTTCCGTATACCAGGAATGAATCTGCTTGAGCAAATTAAGTATCATTAGTATAGAGAGAGAGAGAGGGAGAGACATAGAGAGAGAGAGAGAGTATATATATATATATAAACCGCACGATACATGTTGGATCATGTTGGATGTGAAAACGGCACAGATTTTGACACATCATGATCATGATGATGATGATGACGACTATTATAAGTATTGTTATTATTATTACTACTATCATGATGTTCTTCCTCACACCAAGTTTGCATCCCAAAGTCATGCCCAAAAATATCAGTGAATCTTAAAGCAACTCCAAGGTATTGACGCGGCCCTGTACATGGAGCCAGAGTTGATGTCCAGCATTCTGAACCGCTTCCCATGGGATGTTGTGTACCAGGACGGCGCCGGTTTGTTTCATGGAACTCCAGCCGCAGCCATGGATAGCCATGGGCTGAGTCCTTGCGACTCAGCTACAAGCCATCGAATTCGGCTTCAAACAGATCTCCGTTTCGGATTTGGAATATGTGCTAAGTATTGTTAAGTTCGATTCATCACATGTTGATATGTCCTTGAACTAATGTGATAAAGCCATATAAACCCTACATCATGTCCAATTGTACCAGAAATGGCTGGGCATCAAACATTGGTCAAACATGGTCAAACATTGGAGCTTCAAGGCGTTGAGTGAATTCCACCATGGGGGAAGACTCGAAGACGTGACACTTTCAGCCAGGAATGGTGGCACGAGCTTCCCTTGCCGGGTCGCACCGATGTCTTTGGCTTGTACCGAGATCTGAAGTTCATGCGCCTCTTGGCTCCGCAAGGCTCAAGGTTCCGAATGGCACATCCGAATAGCGTCGAATCTCGCGGGAAAGTAAGAAGTGATGATTGGGAATGTATAGCTTCTGGTTAGTTATGTTAGTTAACATGAATATAGATGACCCATGGTATAATAAGTATAATAGTATATTTATGATGATTTGACATGATTTAACTATATATTGCAACGGCTGTTCCATAGCTACGTCACGCTTGAAACCAGAGGGTAACAACAAAACCAGTCCGGGAAGTCACATTGGATTTAACCTCTGGTAAATTAACATGTTGACCCTGAAAATCACCAATTTTTAGTGGAAACAAATCTGAAGCAAGCCCGATAACTGCCAGGGTCTATGTTTAATTTACTGGAGGGTAAGCTTTAATGAAACCAGGTTGTTCATGTTCGAGCCTTAGTTGGGATGATTACTTAAGGTCGCTAATTGTGGTTGAGAGCTCCAACAGAAGTTCATCAAACCCTTTGCACGTCACATCTCTCACTCTTTCTCTCTCTTTCTCTGCCTATCTACCTACCTACCTATCTATTTTCTATGTATCTATCCAGCTATCGATCTATCTATCTATCTCTCTTTCTCTCTCTTTCATCTGTCTATCTGTCTATCTGTCTACCTGTCTATCTATGGTGCAGTGTCATGTGTAGTAATGTAATTAGTGTAATGTAGTTGCAGTCATATAGTTGTACCTGTAGTTGTTTTGTAGTTGTAGTTGTTGCGTAGTTGTAGTTGTTGTAGTTGTAGTAGTTGTTGTTGTTGTAGTTGTAGCTGTTGTTGTAGTTGTAGCTGTAGTTGTTGTGTAGTTGTAGTTGTTGTGTAGTTGTAGTTGTAGTTGTAGTAGTAGTAGTAGTTGTTGTTGTTGTAGTTGTTGTTGTAGTTGTAGTTGTTGTTGTTGCTGGTGTTGTTGTTGTTGTTGTAGCTGTAGTTGTTGTAGTTCTAGTTGTAGTTCTAGTTGTTGTTGTTGTTGTTGTAGTTGTAGTTGTAGCTGTTGTAATTGTAGCTGTAGTTGTTGTAGTTGTAGTCCTAGTTGTAGTCCTAGTTGTAGTTGTAGTTGTCGTGTAGTAGTAGTAGTAGTAGTAGTAGTAGTAGTAGTAGTTGTTGTTGTTGTTGATGTTGATGTTGTTGTTGTTGTTGTTGCTGTTGCTGTTGCTGCTGCTGTTGCTGTTGTCGTCGAAGTTAGGGTAGTTAAGTTAGTGAGGTTACTTAAGTTAGTCAAGTTAGTTAAGTTAATCAGTATCTACTTTTTCGACATCTTCACGTCAAAAAAGGCTCAAAACCCACAGTTTTTTACACTTTTGACTTCGAAATGTGCTTTGCGCCACAACGGCGTGCACTTTTTCGACACTTTTTCGACATCTGAACCTCCAAAAGTGGTCCGAGAATGGTGTGTTTTGTACATTTTGACTTGGAAATGTGCTTCGCGCCACAACGGCGTGCACTTTTTCAACATCTCAACTTTCAAAAGTGGTCCGAACATGGTGTGCTTTGTGCATTTTGACATCGAAATGTGCTTCGCGCCACGACGGCATGCATTTTTTTCCACATGTCAACTTCCAAAGTGGTCCGATCATGGTGTGTTTTGCACATTTTGACTTGCAAATGTGCTTTGCGCCACAACGGCGTGCACTTTTCACGCTTCCCTGTGGCCAGCTGGCTTCCGCACGCCCCGCTTTAGGCGAGCCTACTTTTTCGACCCTCCGAGTCGCCACAAATCATTGTAAAACCGTGTTTTCGCGACTTTCTTACCTTTTCGCGCATCTGTATCTTCTGTCCTCTTACTCTTTCTCTTCTGATCTTCTCTCTTCTAATCTTCCTCTTCTCTCTCCTAATCTTCCCTTCTCTCTGCTTCTCTCTGCCTCTGCCCTGCTCTGCTTTTCATCTGTCCATATTGTCGGAAGTTTGACTTCTAACTTCCTTCGACAATCACAATACAATCACATACAATCACATAAGCAATCCCATAACATCACATACATACATTACATAACACACATACAATAACTCATACATTCATACGTACATCATACATTACAATTTTACATACAACATAACACCACCATCCATCCATCCTCCCTCCATCCATCCATACATACATACATCATACATAGATACTACATACAAACCTACATACATACATACATACTTGACATACATACATACAATTGTACATACAGACACACACCACATACATCCCATCCATCCCATCCATCCATACATACATACATAGATACATACATACATACATACATACATACATACATACATACATACATACATACATACATACATACATACATACATACGGGCATACATGCATACATGCATACATGTGTATATATATATGTATGTATATGTATGTATAAATGTATAAATGTATATATGTAAATAGGTATATATGTATATATGTATATAGGTATATATGTATATTATATATACATATGTAATATATATATATATATACATGTATGTATATAATATAGATAGCAGATTTCCCATGTTTTCCATCCAAACTCATTAAACCCCCACTTTTCGCCATGTTTGACAGCTCCCTGCGATCCCAGGGGTCGAGGTCGTCGTGGACGTGGTCTTAAACCACATGGCGCGGCCCTGCTCGGCAGCACAGGGCGCCCCCCGGGGCACGCCTTGTGTGACCTGGCCTTGTGATGACTGGGGGATGGTGCAGATGACATCCTTTGACCTATATTAATGGGATGTATCGTATCTATAATAATTCATATTTGAGTCTGTTTGTTTTGTTTTGGTTTGTTTTGTTTTTGTTTGTTTGTTTGTTTGTTTGTGTGTTTGTGTGTGTTTGTTTGTCTGTTTGAGAAGTTATGGCAGAAATTGATAGAAATTGAACATCCAGTTAAACCATCATTCTCTCGTAAAATGATATTCTGTTGGGGTTGTGGTTGTACCCTATTTTCAGACAGACCTACGATTTCACGAGAATAGACATCTTTGTTGGGTTCATGCTGCCAAGGTTTTGCTGATGTCAGCCGGTCCAATTTTGAGCACGTCCAAGGTTGGATGGAATGGAACCTCTTACGGCAATCGGCGGACTGCAGGTGCAACGGCGCGTGGAACCCGGCCGGATTCGTGGCTTGATGGGAACAAGATGGAAGAATTTTAATGAGAAGAAACATGGATATTCCGACTCCCTGAGACTGAATGATGGCCTTCGGCCTTCTCGTAGGTTTCCATGGTGCGGATCAGGTTCTTGGACTAGCCGTGATCCACTTGATTTTGGAGGTGTGTCATAGTTGGCCCACCCAAAACATCATCGGAACATGATCATCATCTCTTGTAATTTGGAGGCTTCATTTTCAGCCCCAAACCCAGAAGGTTCGATCCAGCCTGGCTGCGCAGGTGCTCGTGGCTGGGATATGGCCTCACCGCAGCATTTCCACCACGGCGACAAAGAAATTTGGGGCGAATGTGGCGTTGGTCCAGACACAGGCGCCGGGCGGCTGTTTCTTCCCGAAATCGATCAAAATGAACGGTTGTATTCCCTGCGATACCCCTTAAAGTGAAGAAAATCAATCTAAAACCACGGTTTATGTATGTGTTTTTTTGTTTTGTGTGAGGGTGTTTGTTTCATTATATGTATTGGTGGAAGGGGTTGCCATTCTGAAATTGATTCATGATAGTGACTTGTCACTGAAGATCCCTATTGTGCAATCATTCTAGATCTTGTTTCCATCATGAGAAGTCTGAATATATTAAAACTATATATTATATATATAATATATTATTTATATATATTATATATACACGTAACTCTTAAATGCTGTTTCCTCTTAGTAAGATGAGTAAGTGGTGAACGAGCCTAGCTGATGGTCCACGATTCCTTGGACCATTCACAGGTCGTTCCATCGCTGGGATGATGATCCTCGTTTGTGCCAATGGGCGATGACCTTACTATCCAGGGTTATAGCTGATATAGTTGATATATAGTTGATATCATTTCATATCAGATGATATCAGTTGATATCCAACACTATCCAACTAAAAACGATGAATCAACTCAGGCAAAGAAGCCGCCTACAGACGCTATGGGCTTTGTAATCTGTGTACAAAGCAGAAATGGCAGCATCGCCAGGCTTTCTGTGTGGCTCACCTGTCACCACGGACTGCAGTTGCTGCCCCTGCGATATGTCACTTGGACATCCTCCATGGGAAATTTTGCTGGAGCTGCAATTGGAAAACAACAGAAGCGCACATGCGCCATGGTCAAAACATTGTTGTTTTAAGGTTATTTTGCCAATAAAGGGATGGCAAATCATCCTTTAAAGGGGGTTTATACCCCCTTTATTTGGTCGAGAGCCCCTTCACGGCCTTCACGATGGCGAGATGACCCATACCCCCAAATTGACATATTTTGACCATGGCGCATATGAAGCAATCCGGGGACTAAACTAACAAAGTTTGAGGGATGTTAAATTGGTCTGAGGTCAGGATGATGTCAAGATTGACAAAAGCATGATGAGTTTCGTTTCCCAAAGGAAAATTTTCAGATCTCCAACTGCCTGTGCTCAGGTCCTGCTTTATTTTTACCATGCAGCTAAGCAACCCAGTGATGGATCACAAATCCGAAAGTAAAAAAAAAGTCGATTCACTATCATTTTCCAGCATTTTCCATCATTCTCCATCATTTTCCATCATTTTCCATCATGTTCCATCATTTTCCATCATTTTCCAACATTTTCCAACATTTTCCATCATTTTCCAACATTTTCCATTTTCCATCATTTTCCATCATTTTCCATCATGTTCCATCATTTTCCATCATTTTCCATCATTTTCCAACATTTTCCAACATTTTCCATCATTTTCCAACATTTTCCATTTTCCATCATTTTCCAACATTTTCCATCATTTTCCATCATTTTCCATCATGTTCCATCATTTTCCATCATTTTCCATCATTTTCCAACATGTTCCATCATTTTCCATCATTTTCCAACATTTTCCATCATGTTCCAACATTTTCCATCATTTTCCATCATTTTCCATCATTTTCCATCATTTTCCATCATTTTCCATCATTTTCCATCATTTTCCAACATTTTCCATCATTTTCCATCATTTTCCAACATTTTCTATCATGTTCCAACATTTTCCATCATTTTCCATCATTTTCCAACATTTTCCATCATTTTCCAACATTTTCCATCATTTTCCATCATTTTCCATCATTTTCCAACATTTTCCATCATTTTCCAACAGTTTCCATCATTTTCCATCATTTTCCATCATTTTCCATCATTTTCCATCATTTTCCATCATTTACCATCATTTTCCAACATTTTCCATCATTTTCCATCATTTTCCAACATTTTCCATCATTTTCCATCATTTTCCATCATTTTCCATCATTTTCCAACATTTTCCATCATTTTCCAACATTTTCCATCATTTTCCATCATTTTCCATCATTTTCCAACATTTTCCAACATTTTCCATCATTTTCCAACATTTTCTTGGGCTCCATGAATCACTTCCAGGTATGGTTTGCCAGACTGGAACCTCGCGGTGAAGGCCGTGCAGGAATCGCACACCAGGCTCCATTGATGCTGCAGTTTTTTCCACCGGGGTCGGTGGAGCCTTCTGCAGGGCTACAACCAAATTGGTTACCAATCCGAGTTTCATGGATACCCTCTGGTAAACTAACATAACTATGGAAAATCACCATTTTTTGTGGGAAAATCCACTATTAATGAGTATTAATGGCCATTTTCAATAGCTACGTTAAATTACCAGAGGGTATCAATGGTATGGAATTCAGCATTAACATTCAGAATAAAAAATGGTACCCTTCATCAATTGGTTAGAGTTATCAATATTTCCATTCAGCATTCCAGTTAAACAAGGTTAAGTGCTATTTGATATCTCAAATATTTTACGACAGTTTCATAGATGCTTGTTGGAATTATATAATTTTGAATAGGGCAGGCACGCTGACTGGCAGTCCACATGCGTTTGAGGTCATCATTTTCGCACCCCAAAGTTCGTTCTAAAAAAATATTTAGGACCTATAGAACTGGGATTCCAGTTTTTCTTGGTTTCTTCATGTTTCTGCTTCAACCAAGATCATGGTTCACCCCTTGAAAGCCTTTGCCACGCGCTGAGGCACTTAGAAGAGTTGCATCACATGGGTGTAACAATGCTCCGTCCACCGGCTGCAGGGTCGGAAAGGGGATGGCTTCAGGAGAGTTGCACCCATTTCCGTATACCAGGAATGAATCTGCTTGAGCAAATTAAGTATCATTAGTATAGAGAGAGAGAGAGGGAGAGACATAGAGAGAGAGAGAGAGTATATATATATATATAAACCGCACGATACATGTTGGATCATGTTGGATGTGAAAACGGCACAGATTTTGACACATCATGATCATGATGATGATGATGACGACTATTATAAGTATTGTTATTATTATTACTACTATCATGATGTTCTTCCTCACACCAAGTTTGCATCCCAAAGTCATGCCCAAAAATATCAGTGAATCTTAAAGCAACTCCAAGGTATTGACGCGGCCCTGTACATGGAGCCAGAGTTGATGTCCAGCATTCTGAACCGCTTCCCATGGGATGTTGTGTACCAGGACGGCGCCGGTTTGTTTCATGGAACTCCAGCCGCAGCCATGGATAGCCATGGGCTGAGTCCTTGCGACTCAGCTACAAGCCATCGAATTCGGCTTCAAACAGATCTCCGTTTCGGATTTGGAATATGTGCTAAGTATTGTTAAGTTCGATTCATCACATGTTGATATGTCCTTGAACTAATGTGATAAAGCCATATAAACCCTACATCATGTCCAATTGTACCAGAAATGGCTGGGCATCAAACATTGGTCAAACATGGTCAAACATTGGAGCTTCAAGGCGTTGAGTGAATTCCACCATGGGGGAAGACTCGAAGACGTGACACTTTCAGCCAGGAATGGTGGCACGAGCTTCCCTTGCCGGGTCGCACCGATGTCTTTGGCTTGTACCGAGATCTGAAGTTCATGCGCCTCTTGGCTCCGCAAGGCTCAAGGTTCCGAATGGCACATCCGAATAGCGTCGAATCTCGCGGGAAAGTAAGAAGTGATGATTGGGAATGTATAGCTTCTGGTTAGTTATGTTAGTTAACATGAATATAGATGACCCATGGTATAATAAGTATAATAGTATATTTATGATGATTTGACATGATTTAACTATATATTGCAACGGCTGTTCCATAGCTACGTCACGCTTGAAACCAGAGGGTAACAACAAAACCAGTCCGGGAAGTCACATTGGATTTAACCTCTGGTAAATTAACATGTTGACCCTGAAAATCACCCATTTTTAGTGGAAACAAATCTGAAGCAAGCCCGATAACTGCCAGGGTCTATGTTTAATTTACTGGAGGGTAAGCTTTAATGAAACCAGGTTGTTCATGTTCGAGCCTTAGTTGGGATGATTACTTAAGGTCGCTAATTGTGGTTGAGAGCTCCAACAGAAGTTCATCAAACCCTTTGCACGTCACAGTTTTCCTATGTCGATTGTAGATACTGGAAAATGGAGTTGAATGGTTCAATCCATAGGAAAATGAATGGTTCATAGGAAAATGTGATTTCAATTGGAGTGCAGTTGAATGGTAAAAACAACGCATATGATTTGAACAGAGATCAGCGCTGTGACCCTCAAGTGGTAGCCTTCACCCTTGTCCACATGTGTTGACTATGAAAATTCCAGGTTTAGACTTCCGGCAGTGATTTTTGTCCAAGGGGTACACATGTTGGCCCGGTTCATCCACCACGGGATTGGCAACTGATTCTCCCACCTATAGACCTCCATTTATTGCAGGGATTTCCCAGCGGCCATGTTTGATGACACCGGAGGGTAAACTCCATCCAAATCCACCGTTTGGTTTTATGATAGGTCTAGGAAGTCTAGGCAAAAATCAAAGATCGGTTTTTCAACATCCGCAGGAGTTGATTTTTATGTTCCCTTGTGTGGCGACAATAATATTTACATTGTATGAACATCTCCATGATGACCACACCCCAAACCACAACGGAAGAGATTTGAGCTAATGACTTGCCTGTTGCCCTTGTAATTGAGTCTTGTAGTGGAAAGTCATTCGTTAACATCTGTTTTTGAACCATTTCCCCATCAAAATCAACAATTGTTTAGCCATGTTTGATTGCCAGACCGACAAACCCCTTAGTTTTGCTGGTTTGACGGGGGCTTCTCCACCAAAAAAACATGTTCCATCAATGTGTATTTTGCAAGTTTTTATGATTGTCTTGCAGTTGTTGTTTTTCTCAACCACATTTCGGCAACACCCAAGTCGCATGTGCCAAGTGCCGAGGTCGTGTGAGCGAATTCTTGGCTGTGCAGGACATCTCAAGGACCCAGGAGGTCCTAGTCCCCAACAAAATCACATTATTGGAATGAGGAACTTAATCAGAATGGCTCCCCTATGCCATTGCCAAGGTTCACGGCAAGTTCTATTCGTGATAGAATGGATGGAGAGTGAGTGAGAGAGAGAGAGAGAGTGACATTAAGTTATATATATATATATGTGCACACACATATATATATATATATGTAGATGTGTACATTATACGGGTGATTTTCGCTTGCCAAATTTGATTAAGTATTGCTAAACCTAATGGGAAGCCTATGATTTGGGGATATGAATGCCATCGATGGAAAGTCATTGGGGATAGGCTGTCCCTTGCAGGTCTTAGACGTGGACCGCGGAGATTTCTACATCCACCCCGTGGAAGCGGTCTATCCAACCTGCATCTTGGTGATGAAAACCATGTTTTTTGTGGTAAACACAATTAGAATGAGTAATGTTACATCGACAATAGTAAAGGGGGGTCCCCCCCCTAATTTTTTTTTTTTTTAAGGGGGGGGGGGTCTGCTTTGCAATAGTAAATCGAAAATCCCAACTCTTCCCCAAAGGCTTCTGTAAGGTTTTGACAAATCCTCTCTTTTCTGATGGGCTCTGATGGGATCTTCATTGGATTCTGATAGGAAGAAGGGAAAAAAAATGCCTGCTAGAGCCAGGAAGGTTGTTTCTTATTGCAAGTGCTAATTCCAGTTTTTAATTGCAAATGCAAGGACCTGCAAGGGGGTACCCTTTGTGGACCTGTTTTTGGCAATTTTTTAAAAGGATTTTAATAAAGAAAACAACTTTTTTGAACAAGGTAAAGTTTTTGATTTGGTAAAGGTTTGCTTTGTTTTTTGCTTTTGAAAAGCATGCAATCACAATTTAAAACCATTCAACCACAATTAAAAACACTAAGGAAGAAGGGAAAAAATGCCTGCTAGAGCCAGGAAGGTTGTTTCTTATTGCAAGTGCTAATTCCAGTTTTTAATTGCAAATGCAAGGACCTGCAAGGGGGTACCCTTTGTGGACCTGTTTTTGGCAATTTTTTAAAAGGATTTTAATAAAGAAAACAGTTTTTTTGAACAAGGTAAAGTTTTTGATTTGGTAAAGGTTTGCTTTGTTTTTTGCTTTTGAAAAGCATGCAATCACAATTTAAAACCATTCAACCACAATTAAAAACACTAAGGAAGAAGGGGAAAAACATGCCTGCTAGAGCCAGGAAGGTTGTTTCTTATTGCAAGTGCTAATTCCAGTTTTTAATTGCAAATGCAAGGTCCTGCAAGGGGGTACCCTTTGTGGACCTGTTTTTTGCAATTTTTTAAAAGGATTTTAATAAAGAAAACAGCTTTTTTGAACAAGGTAAAGTTTTTGATTTGGTAAAGGTTTGCTTTGTTTTTTTGCTTTTGAAAAGCATGCAATCACAATTTAAAACCATTCCACCACAATTAAAAACACTAAGGAAGAAGGGAAAAAATACAGCTGAACTGTAACTGGTTCTGATTTTTTTCCTGCATCCATACTAAATCTCAATTAGCTCCTTTGCAATTTAGTATTGTAAAGTCTGATAATTTGGGAATTTTCTGAAAATTATTTGTAGCTATTGCGAATGAACCACATTTATTGCAGATGCTCTGGACCAAGGTTGATGTTTGTAATTTAAAATCAATAAGGCCTAATTTAAAATCAATAGGGGCTGAAAAATCAGATTCTGAAAATTATTTGTAGCTATTGCACGCGCTTTACTATTGTCCATCCAACATTAAACAACATTGATAAACCTCTGGGGATGTTTTATACTGCCAAAAAAACTGGTAAAACAACAATGATGTTTTTTTTGGTTTTGCATTGTCAGCAATGATGTATAGCCTGCCCATATGCTCCATGGTGCTGGTTTTTTACTTCTATAACTGAGCCATGTTGAGGTTGAATGATGGAGAGAGAGAGAGAGAGAGAGAGACTGGGTGCAGCTCTTGAAATCCAGTGCCGCAGTGCATCAGACATCTTTCAGCAACAAGGATGACGGCTTTCACCCATGGTCTGATTGATTCTATGGAGGTTGCCCTTTGGGATTTATCCAGCAAACCAGGCTGGAGCGTCAGATTTCGAGTTCTCAGGTACGCGAATTCCACGCGCACCTTTACACAAAGATACATAGAATATGTTTGATTTGTTTACATTAGGTGGGGTACGATGAAGTTGGTAGACGTGCTAGATGAATGGATGGATATTTGCGAATACACATTAGATGGGTAAAATGCTGACCATATATAGGGTATCCCCGATGTATCCCAGTCACAAGGGTAAACTGAGCAGCTCAGGCTTTCATGATGGTCGCAGTGACGGAGCCGCTTGACGATGAGTTTTTGGCAGTTCCAAACCTCAGTGCCAAGCGTAACAGGCTAAACCACAGACGTCTAGTCTAATATCTATCTATCTATCTATCTATCTATCTATCTATCTATCTATCTAATTCTATCTATCTAACTAACTAACTATCTATCTACCTATCTATCTATCTATCTATCTATCTAATTCTATCTATCTAACTAACTAACTATCTATCTACCTATCTATCTATCTATCTATCTTTCTATCTATCTATCTATCTATCTATCTATCTATCTATCTATCTATCTAATTCTATCTATCTAACTAACTAACTATCTATCTACCTATCTATCTATCTATCTATCTATCTATCTATCTCTATCTATATCTCTATCTATATCTCTATCATATCTCTATATCTATATCTATATCTATATCTATATCATTATATCTCTATCTACCTATATTTTCATATATATATATATAGGTTCATAACAGTAACCTCCACAAAATAGGGGGGCTTCATATATGCTTAATTTGTTCATTTACCTTCACGCCATATTTGGGACGTCCACCACAAAATGTTTTTTGTCTTTTCCAGTTAGTATTTTGTCCAGCGTCCACGCTTCACTGGATCACAACAACACCACTGCACAATGAATGCAATTACTTGCAATTACTTGCTTTTAACTTATTTCAAACGTTTAAGAGCCACACTTTTCTTGGTGCCAGTGTGCCAGAACATCTAGATGACACCTAGATTACACCGAATATAGATAGATTTAGATACTTATTTTTGGATCATTTTTGGATACTGCCAGTTCGTTAAGGGTCATTTTGCCCATTCGCATCCTTTTTGGGCCATCCTTTTGGGGGCCTAGGCGGATCCTGCGATACCAACCTTCAAGCTGCCCGGCTGCATGTCCGATGTCGGTGGCTTCGAAACTGCCTTGCAATGTACAATCAGATGTACTCTTTACTGATGGGGATATCATGGTGATATCATGTTGATATCTGGTGATATACCTTCTGGTAAACTAACAGTTTGCTATTGAAAATTGCCATTTGAAGTTGGTTTACCCATCAAAAATGGTGATTTTCCATAGTTATGTTAGTTTACCAGATGGTATTCCATGGGTTTTTGTTCAGCTTCCAACATCTAAAAACATGAAGCAGATCCATTTCCATTTTTTCCATGACTTTAAGCGAGTATCATGTAGCCTCAGAAGCCTAGGCCTAAGTAGCATGACATTCAGCCACAAAAGGTTTTGGCAAACCTTTGACCTCACAGTTTCTGGTCAAACCTTGGTTGTGTTTGTGAAAAGAGCTTAATTCTGAGCCACAGCATGCCATAGCTCAAACGACTTTACAACATAACCTGGCTTTGTTCAAAAGATGATTGCTGCGCTTTCCATTGCGTTTTCCATTTATGGAATCTATGGCAAGTTCTATAAGTTGACTACTATTCCATAAAATCAACTTGTTTGACAAGTTCTGTAAGTTCTATATTGGGATTTATGACTTGTTTGAATCCCAAAAATGCCACATACTTTTTCCAAAGTTGACTGGTTGATGGTTCCACAGCAACTACCACAGATTTTTGACCAACGCATCCCAGGAACGGCTTGGCGTTTCACCAGCAGCAGCTCTTTCTGTCGCCTGGAAGACCCATGGAAAACCCATGGTCTACAAATGATGATTTTTCCGGCATCTAATCTAATGAGGTAAGTTTACCCTAGGGTACCTAAAGTGGATAGAAACTGAAGATCAAGATTCCAGACTTGGATAGGTTGGGGGTTTTGACAATGATCCGGTCCTCCCACACGACTTCAATCGCCAGCAGTCCCAGTGAATGGCAAGGAACTTGCCTCAAGCTAAGATAGCTAAGCTCAGTGTCCAACAACTTGGGGGGTTATCAGGTGATATCAGGTGCTAAAATGCAGCCCAAAAATCTGTCCCCCAAAAGCTACGCTCGGGCGGTCTCAAGAGTGAATAGATCCCGGGAGATGTTTATCAGTGAGCAATACTTGCCCCATCTTGCCCCATTTATAATTAGAAAACCGTCTACAAATGGAGAGTTATGCATTGTCAGATTAGGCTGCGAATTGGTGTTGCAAACATCTGTTCAATCCACATTCTTGCGGATTATATGCATATTTTACTGTTTCGATCGCAATTTCTTACTTGTTTTAGATTCAATGTCAGCATCAATCAGATTGTTGGCTACATCCACCTCTTCTTGGTTAAACTGTTAAACTCAAGTTTTTCCAGGAACATGTTTTTATTGTTTTCTAAATTCTTTAAGCCAGTTGAATCAACATCATGTACATCAATTGTGCGCTTCTTTATGCTGTTTGAATCTCCATTTCTGGTGAAATCGCCACGTTTTCCGAGGATTTTTTTCAGGTGAAAAATTCACCCCGATAGTCATTCCAGGAATGGCGTCCCCTGTCCCAAGGATCCTGAAATCAAAAAGTCCCAGAGTTGGGAAATAGTTGGGATAGTTGGGACATTTTGGGATGAAAACAACTCAAAATAAATAATTTTGTAAAAATGTTGAAGTTGTTTTTTACATCCCCACCTCCAACTTTTCATTTTTGTCCTGTTGAACTCGCATTTTGACACAGCATGTTGGGTGGTTTTCCATCTCCACCTCAATGTGTAAATGTGTTGTTTTTTCCTCGGGTTAACTTCCAAGTTCCACAGCCACAAGTCAATTCTATCTTCATGATATCCCAGTAAATCCCATCATATCCCATCATATCCCAATGACATCTACCATTATTACCCCTGTTTTTTGCAGAAACTCTCTATGATTGCCAGCTATATCCATAGTTTTCTGTAGATCTTCCCCTTAAGATCCCTGATGTCAACGGATGAGTGGAAAATGTACAGGAAACCATCGGACTTTCCCAAGATTTTTTTTTGGGGGTTCCATAGGTTTCTGGTATTGTTTTCCCTTCAAACCGATCCATTATAGAAAAGTGATTCCAGTAGGTTATAGTCAATATTTCATATATAGATATTTCCAACTCACTTTTCTATGACTTGGTCTACAGGAAAACTGTGGGATTTTCCGATGAAATATGAGGTTTTCTACGGGTTTTCTTGTGAACTGTCCCTGAAATCAATCCGAATGTGATATCCCATATAAATCATATGGCAGTGTGTCAAAACCTTGTACCCCTGGTGAACATCAAAATAGCTGGTAAATGGATGTTCATCCCACTAAAAATTGTATTTTCATAGGTATTGATCCATACCCATATGAAATCCACCATGTTAAGCCAAGGTTAGCCTCGCCCTTTCCCGTCACCGTGGTACTCTGGGGCGGCTATGCCTGGCGTAGTATCGACGATGGCCCGCCCGGCTGCGAAGGCCGTCCGATTTCCATGGGTGAATGATAGATGGTAAAGCAAACCAGCTATGAAAATCACAATTTTTAATGGGAAAATCACAATTTTTCATGGGAAAATCACAATTTTTAATGGGAAAATCACAATTTTTAATGGGAAAATCAACATTTTTAATTAATGGAAAAATCAACATTTTTAATCGGACAATCACCATTTTTCATGGGAAAATCACAATTTTTCATGGGAAAATCACCATTTTTCATGGGAAAATCACAATTTTTAATGGGAAAATCAACATTTTTAATTGGAAAATCACAATTTTTAATGGGAAAATCACAATTTTTAATGGAAAAATCGCAATTTTTAATGGGAAAATCACAATTTTTCATGGGAAAATCACCATTTTTAATGGGAAAATCAACATTTTTAATGGGAAAATCACAATTTTTAATGGGAAAATCTCAATTTTTCATGTGAAAATCACAATTTTTAATGGGAAAATCACCATTTATCATGGGAAAAGCACCATTTTTCATGGGAAAATCACCATTTTTAATGGGAAAATCACAATTTTTCATGGGAAAATCACTATTTTCATGGGAAAATCGCAATTTTTCATGGGAAAATCACAAATTTTTAATGGGAAAATCACCATTTTTAATTGGGAAATCACCATTTTTCATGGGAAAATCACAATTTTTCATGGGAAAATCACCATTTTTAATGGGAAAATCACAATTTTTCATGGGAAAATCACAATTTTTCATGGGAAAATCACCATTTTTCATGGGAAAATCACAATTTTTCATGGGAAAATCAGCATTTTTAATGGGAAAATCACAATTTTTCATGGGAAAATCACCATTTTTAATGGGAAAATTACAATTTTTCATGGGAAAATCACCATTTTTAATGGGAAAATCACAATTTTTAATGGGAAAATCACAATTTTTAATGCGAAAATCACAATTTTTAATGCGAAAATCACATTTTTTAATGGGAAAATCACAATTTTTCATGGGAAAATCACAATTTTTCATGGGAAAATCACAATTTTTCATGGGAAAATCACAATTTTTAATGGGAAAAGCACCATTTTTAATGGGAAAATCACAATTTTTCATGGGAAAATCAGAATTTTTAATGGGAAAATCAGCATTTTTAATGGGAAAATCACAATTTTTAATGGGAAAATTACAATTTTTCATGGGAAAATCACCATTTTTAATGGGAAAATCACAATTTTTAATGGGAAAATCACAATTTTTAATGGGAAAATCAACATTTTTAATCGGAAAATCACCTTTTTTAATGGGAAAATCTATATTTTTACCAAAAGGACATGATTGGCCTTGTGAACTCACATAAATCTGGATGTAAGATGTAATACGATGTAAGTGATATGCGCAAATCTGGATTAGACAAACTGGGAACTTTGCTTCGATGCTTAAAAGTAAAATCACGATCCCTCATTTTGTTTGTTGGTGATGCAGCCATTTTTTACTGGCTCGACCACCATGACCACCACTGTCATCACAGCGTGTTAAGAAAAAACACAGAGATTGTCATTCAGCAGTACCAAATTTATATGAATTTATGTCATGTTTCAATTACTGGAGGTGCCATTGTTGCTTATTTGTTGCTTGAACCCCGAACTTGTTTATACATTAGGTTGAAGAATAATTCTCTACTGCTTGCACTCCTGAAATCCGGTGGCTCTTCGAATGGGTTGCGTATTTGTTGCGTGCCGCAAAGCCAATAATGAACCACCCCCAACAAGGGATTTATGAAATTGTAGATCGGCATGTTCCTATTTAGAATGCAACTTGACACCTAAATGGTTGGACACTCAGATGGTTTGTGGCATTGAACTTTGCCACACTACACAGCCAGTTCATGTTGCAACTCCCTTTTTCTTATACTCTATAGCCAATATGTTTTCTTTTACACACTGCATGTTGCTTTGGTCGAAACATGTCAAGACCATGGCTCATTATAGGACATATGTCGGACATATATGGACAAACCCATCTTCTGCGGCTCCCCAGATGTAAGCTCGTTTATCAATAGTGCCTTTATATAAGTTATCATTTATCAATGGGAATTTCAGGATCCTAAAATGGAGGTACTGTACCATTATAAGGCCTATGTAAGGGGATATCCCCACAAAATATGGCCTTATATGGTACAGTACCTTCATTTTAGGATCCTGAAATTCCCATTGAATTTATGATTAATCACTAACTTGCAAGGTCAACTCATTTTAAATTTATAAGCCAATCTTTTCGGTGATGATTATAACAGATTATAACTAACATAAATCCTATAGTCATGTTAGTTGTAAAGCCACTTTAACGTTTTCGGTTTGCCCATCCCCTGGGGGTTTCTACAGTCTTCAGCTCCGCAGGCGGCCAGAGCCATTGTGCCGCCACGTCGCCGCACTCAGAGGGATGTCGGGCCACGCCCACTTTGTCACCGTCGCCACCATTGGAGGAGTTCACAGCACGGCCCTGGATCTGCGAACACAGGCGTTGATTTTTCATGGGATGCTGGGGCTGAAAAGCAGTAATTTAAATGTAATTAACTGATCACTATTTTTTGTTGATGGTGCCTCATCATCGGATATCATGTAGTTTTTTTTTCTCCTCATAGGGAGGGAGAAAGACGCATATATAGATATATATATTTGCATGTGCAAATGCACTTCTACGTATATGTACTATATATAGTATATATTAGTATATATTGTAACTATCTGACTTATAACTAGTGATCATTTGGCCTATTCTTTTGTCTCATTATAGAAGTGAGAACATTGGCGCCCTCAAGGGGACAGCGAGCCAGTTAGGTCAGTTCGGACCCATAGAATCCCCATGTTTCAGTGGTGCAGTTGGTGGGTAAACGTTACCTTTTTTGGCTATGAGTCGACATCATCCAGTTAACTCAGCTGGATGGTTTCCGATTGCCAAGTTGGATTGAGGATGAGTCAACACAAGCACTCACAATGACTTGCAGGAAGGGATTGTATAAAGAATCCTGGATTTTTGTTGTCAAAATGGCTGATATGTCTTCTTTCGAAACCACCTCAGCCTGAGTAGGGACAGTTTGCAGGAACTCTTCTATAAACGGGAAAACCCGGTAGTTTCCCATGGTTTACAAATCAATCAATGGCTATGGCGAGAAATCTTGAGTATCCTTTTTGATTCACAGGATGTATCAACAACTTATAGTGAGATAACATGGTATAATGGTAATCATCAATCAAAACCCGTACAAAACCCATAGTTTCATTAGTTTCCCCAGTTGTCATCAATCAACAAAACTGATAGTTTCCCCAGTTGTCAACAATCAGCAAAACTGATAGTTTCCCATAGTTTCCCCAGTTGTCATTGAACCCATGAGTTCCCACTTCCCACCCAAAAAAATGCCATGGTTTCAGGTGGCAAGGCGTCGCCGGCTTGTTGCGCTTCCGCGCCAGTTGCCGCCACGCCGAGACGCGGCGATGGACGCCAGGTCGTTCGGGATGGAGCCATTGGGTTCCTGGGAAAACCAAGCGGTTGTGTAACCCATTGGGTTACCTTCTGGTAAACATACAAAAAACTATGGAAAATCACCATTTTTAATGGGAAAACTCACTATTTCTATGGCCATGTTCAATAGCAAACTGTTAGTTTACCAAAGTGTAAGGCAAATTGTTGGTGTGTATGATTTGATATTATGTAGTTATAGAATGTTATAGATATTCGTTAAAAATGGGAAATTCATGGAAATTCAGGATCCTAAAATGGAGGTACTAACTTAGTATCATATTGTGGGCCATATTTTGTTGGGATATTCCCTGAAATTTAAGCCTGAAAAAGCGGGTAAGTACCTCCAATTTAGGATCCTGAAATTCCCATTGATCTATGCAGAAATTACTTCAGGGTGAGCTGTCTCAATGATTCACAAAAGGGTTTGTTTGAAAATATTTTTCCCCTCGACAACTGATGGATTATCATCATTTACCTAATTAATAGTTGAAGTATATAAAAGTTACCATCTATTTGGAGGCATACCCCACCCAGCATTTCATATTGTTGGTTCTTCATATCCCATAATAAATCATGTCGATACATGTCATACATAATATATATATATATAATTATATATAATATACAATTATTCAATTATATAACTACTTGGCTCTTCCATTGATATACTACAATGTTTGCTCGTTTGAAGACCTAGGTAATTATATCATATCATATCCCTATGGATCCAAGTACCTTCTTAAGAAGTACTTGAGGTATGATTTATAAAGGGTGTTAAGTACCTTCTCAGACAGTGTTCGGATCCATAGACATATAATTATCTGAGTAAATTATAACGACCTCACTGCGACCTCACTGGAATCATGGTTAGTAAGGGGAATCATCCCAAAATGGCCGAACTATTCAGCTTAGTGAAATAATACAATTCGCATATATATATACATATATATATATATTCTACATCCCATGTGTTATATACTTGGGGAGGCATATAATAACCAAGGTGTTATATACAACCAATTCTCATGGGGATATCTCCACAAGGTGGTCCCGAGCATCTGCGTCTGGGCCACCTGGCCTTTCGTTTGGGCAGCCGATGCTTTGTGGCTCTGGCGCGAGGCCGGCGTTGGAGATATATTTTATGGCGATGTTTCATGGGATTTATATATATATATAGTTAGATAATATAAAGAGATTGATAGAATTAATTATAACTTAATTGATGTTGAACACTTTCAAAAAGAACCATTTATAAATGTCTGAAATTGTGAGTAAAGCCAAGAATAAAAGTATAGAGCCCATTGTTTCCTGCAAATCTCCTCTTGAAAAGCCCTATGATACTTGGAGGATCATCCCGCATATTGTAACTAGTTACTAACTGGGGTTAGTTCCCTACATCTGTGGGATAAGCCCAGATATTCGGGTACTCAGAATAATCTTCCAAAAAAGGATTTTCATGGGATGTAATGGCATTAGGGAAAAGAAAAGAGCAAATGGGATATATAACCATATATAACCAACGATAGCGGATTTTCCTGGTGTATTGGCTTTGATGCTACTGAATAGATCTGAATAGTCTTGATCCATTCCCAATATTCCCATCTTGGCAAGTTATTAGGCCCTTGCAGCCGCACACCTGCAGCCCCAAAGCAAGCGTTTGTTATGCGGATCTGGCGGATGTTCACTGCTGGGGATGAACTTTCGATGGTGTCAGATAGATGACATACTGTGGTTGCGAAATCCACCAGTTGATAGATTCTGATTCAGTGGTTTATCCCACAATTTATAGGGATTTAACATGATTGAACCATCCGTTTGGTGGTGCAGGATTTCGCTGGCCCATCCACAGTAGGCCTTTCCAAGGGATTGGTACCTTGGGGTTTTCAAACGGGCCATCAACTTGTCACGAATCCACTACCCTCTGGTAAACTAACATAGCTATGGAAAATCACCATCTTTGATAGGTAAAACAACTATAAATGGGCCATGTTCAATAGCTATGTTAAATTACCAGAGGGTAAGACTCTAAGAGGCTCTGATTGGTGGCTGGCGGATCGCCCCCTCGACACTGGTTTGCCTATGGGTCGCTACTGCGACCTTGCTTCCTTCGATGGAAGGAGATGTGTGCTGCGGGGAACACTATATTTGATACTGAAGAAATGGTTCCGAACTCAGAAGTTTCCATTTTTGTTGAAGTTAGATGAAGTTAGTTGTTTAGAATTTAGATCCCGTGAACTTTTTGTGAACGCCCGGATCATCACAGCACACCTAGCTCGCTGTCAATTTATGTGGGTTGTCCTCTCCCATCCTGACTTGGGATGATGAACTATGACAATGATGAACTCCAAAGTGACTGACTATGTGACTTATAGTATGTCAGTAATATCTTGAATATCTCATATCTCAGAAATGGGTGGTTGAAAAAATATCACACACCCCCACACACACACACATATATATATATATATATACACTCTATATCATATTTCAGTATGTCATAAATCTCAGAAAAACCGGTTGAAAGCAGGTCAGGTCCTCCAGGTCCTCCAGGTCCTCCAGGTCCTCCGCAACGCGTTGCTTCGATCCTCCCCAGGACCTGCCATCGCGAGGTCGTGCTGGGCCCTGAGGGCCGAGTGCTGAAAGGAGGCGGCTGGGATTCGGGGTACCCTCCGGTCATGCAACATATGTGTAGCGTAAGTAGCTAACATAGCCATGGAAAATCAATGGGAAAATCAATGGTACCATGGGCCATGGCTTCCATAGCTATGTCAAAAATGGCCAGAGGGTATCCCAAGATTTTCCTTCTTTCAGCTTTGTGTTTCATGTTGTTGTATATGATCCAAAGGGTGAACACAACTGGGTGTGTTCCAAGAGGTGTGACTTGCATCCTGGCATCGGCTGCAAGCATTCTGCCAACCATTTCTGGGGCCCCTCCTTTGGATTTGGTTCAATTCTGTTGAATGAAAAAGGTACAGTGGCTGCCATGGCACCAGAAGAACTCGGATTTGCCCGTGACTTTCGTCCCCCCCATGACGACAGGAGTTGCGGCGGGACACCTCCTTGTGCCTCGGCACAGCACATGGTCCTTGGTTGGTCACCGATGAAACCAAGGTGACCAACCAAACTTGGGAAGAATTACCTGGGATATTGCAAACTAAGGGCAAATATTTGGATGGTTGAACAATGTTGAACACGTTGAACACTTAAACGCATGGAGAAAATATGAGATATTATAAGGTATACTTGCCATATCTTGACTCTTGACATGTCAACCGCATCGCTAAAAGTCTTAAACAGACATGCATGGGTCGTTGCTGACCCCTTAGCCCACAGGATTTGTTGGAGACATGTGGAGATGTTTGCTGATTGTTTTTCTTAGTTTCGTGCATGTTGGGGGCAGCCACGCACCCCACATGATCTCGTTCATGGGAACCCTGGCTTCACATCGATGTTATCCCCAAGGCCATTAGTGCGGCAGTCATGCAGCCGTAACAGGCACTGGCTGCAAGGATGTTCCTTGTGTGACTAGGGCATGGGCAGATGATGAATCTATGATTGGATGTGTTAATTAGATGAGGTTGGGAACCGGACTTTACATTCAATTCAAGTTGCTTCGCCAAAAGTCACGTATACCTATACAGCCGGATGCAAATATAACACCAAGCACATTATTATATGTGTCACACACCGACTTGTACTATATACTGTAATTATATAATTATATTCACATCAAGCAACTGCAACGTAACTGATGTGTGACCAGCCATCATAACCAGCCGTTGCTTCCACCGCGGGGCGCCCGTTTTTCCACTGGGCCTCTGGCGCTGTCAAAGACCACAGCGGCCAGATGCCCCTCTCCTGCCGGTGCCAGTCCAAAGGCTTGACGGCACAGCCAGGATGCGAAGTGGCAGCGCCCCTCAACTGGACCTGGAAATGGGAAGAGAGAGAGGCAGACCCCAACAGTTGAGTTTATTTATATCTATTTGTTCAGTGCGAATCGTTGTTGATGGATGGTGGGTTGCTGCATGAAATGCCACCTTACAGTCGCGTGTGTAGAAGCCATGACTCCGACAATGACAAGAAGGAGGCTTGCGCTTTACATGCATGTACCGTCGAAGGGTTGTGCAAAAGGTGGAGCACTCGTGTAAAGGAAAAACACATCTTATTTCAGTATATTTAAGTATATGATGATGTACTATATTTAATTTATGATTTATGTAATTTAGGTATGTATCACATACATACATATCTGGAACTTGCACAGTAGCACTTTTTTCTGACAATCACCTTAGAATGGACAATTGGACAGAACTTGGCCCAAATTTGCGGAAACCATCCTGACAGAACTTGGTTTTGAATGGTTTTGATGTGTTTATGTGATGTCCTTTGCATTCATTGATTCAGCAAAACAGATAGTAGCTTTCACCCTAGGAACTTATGACACCCTGTCAGCTAGAAAACCAACAAACAGTTTCAAAAAAATAGAAACCCTAGCTGAATGCAAGCCCAAGCTCTCGACCACTTATTTACCCATGGACTACTTCACAACTAGCACGGACCTTGCCTGTGTGGCTAAAATCTACAGCTAATTCAGAAAATCCGCAAATTATTTGGCAGTTTAGTGGAATTGAAATGGGCGGAACTGCCCGGGAAATGGGCGTTTTTAAACGCGGGAAATTGGGGGGGAAACTCCCCGGATCACAATTTTCCATGATCTTTTGATAGGTTTGAGTCTAGCACTTCCAGGTGTTTGATTCGATGTTGTTGTTTTTTTCAGAAGGGGCTTACCTTTTCTGAGAGGTGCTCACAAATCTCGCTGTTCCATTTGATCAACGAAGTTTTAAGTCGCGTTGCGTGACTTGCCATACAAGAGATACATACCTTATGTTTTGGTCTCAGGAAATATTGTAGGATGCTTCAAGCCCCTATCATGGTTTGACCAGGGCCAGTCTCAAATGTTGTCCATTTCTAAGAAACTTGACCAAATTGCAAACAGTGGCTGGGTTTTCTTGACAACATGCATGTTGTCAAGAAAAAGTCACCCCTATGGAAGACCCAGGTATATATATATATATGTATATATATATGTATATATATATATATGTAATATGCATGTATCTCTGCAGTTTTTCTTGCAGCGTGATCCCTGATGTTGTTTCTTCGATGCTCCAAAATCCTCTATGTTTTTTTCTCTGCACAGTTTTGTTTTACGCACCCTTGGCACACAGACTTTGGGGATGAACAGTAGGTCCACCAAATGAAACGTGAGCTCAATCCTTGCCAAGGTTGGTCCCTGAAAAACCAACTCTTGATTGAATACTTGCTGTTCATTGCATTATTTTCTTTTACATCGTTAAAATTTGTCCAAGGAGGTTATATACTGCTTCGCTTGTCCCCGCGAGTTTGTCTCGCTTGTGCCCGCCTCCTTTCCACTGGAGCTTCAGGGTTTTGGTACCCCCCCCCAAGTCCCCTAAAGTTAAGACCCTAAATGGTTGAAGCATGATGAGGTTAGAAGCTCCCCTAAATGGTTGAGTCATGGTGAAATGGTGAAGTCAGAGGTCCCTATCTAGTGCTAGTATCAATCTAGTGCCCCCAAGTCCCCCCCCCCGCCGGTCCTTTTCTTATGTTTTTCTGTTTTTGTTTTGAATTTAGAGATTGAGATCCACTGAACATACATTCTCATACATGCCGATACGTAACCAATGAAAATCACTAGTTTCCCCAGGCCAATAATCCAGATTTTCCACATCCACATTGGTTTGCTGGAAAGATTTTGAAAGCAAGTTCTTGCGGCTCCTCTTTGGTACTTCCCCTCGTCAAGAACACTCGGTCCACCCCGTGCTCCCTGAAACCGGGGAATTGCACGGGGTGATGTGCCGTGCTAGCGGAAGCCAATGCGAAAGAAGGATGAAAACTTCGTAATGACGGCGCATGCAGTATCACACACGACATGATTGAAATGCGTGTGGGTTCCCCATGAAAGACGGGACATGAATGCTACGCAAACTATGCAATGCTTGCAAGCCTGTAAATCAGGTTAGCATGTGTCAGCATAGTAGGGGTTCTTTTTTTAAAGCCCCTGCATGCCCCTGCGAAACAACTATCCAATACCTCTTGGTGGGAGTTGACTGGGGTTGTGTTGCCCATCAGCAATTTGAAAGGTTCTTTACCTCCAAATGTT